CTGTATCTTTGACTTACAATTTATTTAAAAGACATTGTATGATATCTTCTAGTATTAGAAACTTTAAAAAGTTAAAAAAAAAATTAATGACAGAGAAAAGGTTGGAAACTCAGCTTATGCTCTTTAGTCCCAACTGCTGATGCTGGCAGTAAAAAGAAAAGTCAGCATTGGCTCCTCAAACAAAGTTGCTCCATTTCATCAAGAAAAAAGATGCCATCTTAAGACCATTTAAAATCTATATTCCTTGGACGGTATTTAAGATGCTTCATTCATCATTGTTTTACACACACACACACACACACACACACACACACACACACACTTCTGCCTCTCATTGGTAGGCTAATTTTTCTTTTCTTTTTTTTGAAATAGTACATTCTCAGAATACTAAAATCCGTTCACAAATGTGGCACAGCTGGGTTGCTCAGAATCCTGCTGTGGCCAGGGGCCAGCCAGCCTTAAGGATATGATGACTCATATGCACCTTCTAGCAGCTTGGATGAAAAAAACTCATTAGGAATCCATAGTACTCCCAGCTTCTCCGTTTCTCAATTGTTTCCACAGAAGGCACTCACCTGGTCACGATCACCTGCAAAACAGCAGCTTTTCATAGTGCATGAGTTGAAATAACCCTGATTGTCAAACTGGAACACGGGCAGGCGAGAGTGGATATCATACAGCACAGGAGGCAGGCGACGCCTCAGGGCCAGGAGTTGGGTCCCATTGCTGTTGAATCGTACACTCATGGCACTTTGGAGGGACAGATTGCCACCATAGCGCAGGAGAGAACTAGAAGACAAAAAGCACACATTTTGGGCATGAGTTAGAGTCGATAAGAGTTTGCAAAACACCCTGAATTTACTTTTTTTAATTTTTTCTTTTTAAATCTGCTTGGGACTATTCCATATCTGCCCAAGCCCAGGCCCTGTGAGTGTGTGGGAGAGCTTCTGCACTGTCCTGCACCCGCTGGACCAAGCCCAGGCCCGACCTGCATGAGAGACCCTTCCCTGTGTTCTCTGGACCTCCTCTGCCCCTACAGAGCCAGCCCAAACCCATCCCGTGAGTGAGAACTTCTACTATGCTCTTGGGAGCCCTGCCGACCCGCCAAAGCCCAGGCCTGGTGAGTGTGTGGGAGAGCTTCTACGCTCTCCTGCTCCCCCCGACGCCCCTCCAGAACCAGCCCAGGCCTAGAATACAGGCCTGGGGTGAAACTCTGCAGCTGAAGTCCATGACTAGGGTCAAAACCACGCAGCTAATCCAGGAGCAGACCATCTT